AAAAGGACGGCGCCCTTTCGATTACAAATGATCTGGGATGCTGGACCCGCTTTCCAGCAGGTGTTGCTCCCCACCAATAGATAGAGCCCTCCCGAGGGCCGAGACTGCTAGTGGGGTCTGCTCATATCAGCACCCCTAGCATCATCTTGGGTTGTTTTCTTGTAAAAAAAAAAAAAAGGAGATAGCATTGATGATTAACAACTTCTGAACTTCATCACCTTCAGTACCCCAGGGCCCAGGGGGTCTTTAGGACCCCTCTCAGCCCTTTGGGGAGGCACTGACACAAATGTATATGGACCCGCATGGCACACTGATTCAACCACCACGTTAATGGCCTAATAACGTGGAGGTACTGGTGGGTTTAGTTCACCATCTGGCTTCGAATTGAGGTCTGTATTTCTGAATCAATGGTTCATGGGTGTAGCAACTGAGCTAGGCCCTTCCGTCCCAAATGAGGGTTCCCGTAAACCCCTGGGCCCTGGACCATCCCTCATCCTCGTTAGGGGGCGCTGGAGGGTTTTGATAAAAGCATCCCCCAGTACCACCCCCCCTAAGCACCCCATGCAGATGGCTCCTGTCTATTGGGATCATCTATGTCCTGAGAATGCAAAAACGTTCAAAGAACAGGAATCCATTGAGCCTTACTGCTCGTTACCTTGTGCACACACACACATACACACACATTGAGAGATCACACGAAGTCCACACCTCTGCCTGTTGAATATGACCTTTGACTGCAAGATTTGACTCTTGCCTGTGGGACACGCCACTCTGGCGAACCACTCCGACTTTGACTCTAATTTCCATTATTTTGCGTCTCCTCCCTCCGACAGACCAGTTACCCTGTGGTGCCCCTGGGGCCTCTGAACTTTCCTGCACGCCCATGTCAGCAAGGGGCGCAGCTTTCGGCGGTGCCCTTACTGGACGGCCAATCCCATTTCACCGGTCCCTACACAATATGCCCTCGTGAGCGGCATGCATCTTTCCACCGTGCCCTGCCCTTCCGCCAGAAATTCAGATTTGAAGCAGATGGTTTTTGTGGCGGTGCTGCAAAAAATGACGGAGTGGGTCACTCTGTGTGTGTGTGTGTGTGTGTGTGTCTCACAC